AGTTCCTAACCTTGAACAGGTCCACAATTAAGTTCCTAACCTTGAACAGGTCCACAATTGAGTTCCTAACCTTGAACAGGTCCACAATTGAGTTCCTAACCTTGAACAGGTCCACAATTAAGTTCCTAACCTTGAACAGGTCCACAATTGAGTTCCTAACCTTGAACAGGTCCACAATTGAGTTCCTAACCTTGAACAGATCCACAATTGAGTTCCTAACCTTGAACAGGTCCACAATTGAGTTCCTAACCTTGAACAGGTCCACAATTGAGTTCCTAACCTTGAACAGGTCCACAATTAAGTTCCTAACCTTGAACAGATCCACAATTGAGTTCCTAACCTTGAACAGGTCCGTGGCTAAGTTGCACTAAGCCCCATGAAGTTTGCTTAGCTAGGCCTTCACATCTGGATGAATGGAGCCATCATAAGTTTGATGGTTGTTGCTCTCTGCAACCCTGTTCAATCGAAGCTTGTTAAAACCACGATTGAGTTTAAAAACCAGAGTCTCAGCTTGAGTCGTTTTCTCTGTGGCAAGCTCTTCCTGATTGTCAAAACCATTTTCGTCAATGCGTCTTGACCTGCCATAGAAGGAGAAATATTGCAGGATTTGTCCTTGGGGTGATCTATGTCTCTTGTTGTACTAGTACAAATCAGGTGTTGCAGTGTTCAGAGTTCAAAGTGTGCTGTTTATTTTGTGACGGCTGGAATGCAAAAGCCACGTTTGCTGGATATGGTTGATATCAATCTCACTGGGAGTTGGAAGGGGGGTCCACATTGCCTCAAATGACCGAGGCAGCCGATCCTTGATGTGAACAATCCAGTTCCTTTTGTCTATTTTAGCACAGATTGTTGACTGAAGCCCAAAATGATAACCCAAGTGGTTTTGTTGGTGGTTACAACTATTTCCCTTCCACTTGTTGTGTGGCAGGTGACGTAGAACGGTGAACTAGATATTGCATGCAAACAGAGTAGAACATATCAAGAGGAGGTACGCAGCCTTCCAAGCTTGCTGGTATTTTGTGTGTGTGTGTGTGTGTTTTTTTAAAAAATAAAGACTTCCACACATTCAGTTCAGCTCCTGGTAATTTCATGGTTTGCAGTTTTCAAGGTTGCCATACATAAATAGTTTCGCCTTAGCATCTTCCAAGATGTTCCCAGTTGAACTTCTAGTCTGTGGCTGTATTTCCCATTCATAAAATCCAATCCAAGGTCGCCAGATGTTGCCCACTGGCTGCAGGACTCCAAAATTGCTGCCGTTTTTAACCGGACAGAAAGGGAAATTACTGTACATCTAGAGACTCGTTTGGTTAAGAACATGTTACGTTTGCTTAAATGTCAATGACATCCCATCCCTGTTTTCCCTCTGTTCTTGCTCTGCAGTATTTGGGAAACCACCATTCCCAGATTTAACTGTTGGTTGATGCCAAGTGTCATGTGTCAACATCAGAAGAGGGAAAAGCGAGGAAGGTCCCATCTGTTCTGATGGGCAGGACCTTCCCAACCAGGTGCCTCCACCTGTCTGATCTCAAAAGGTTAAGCGGGCTTGGTGGCTTCTTGAATGGAAGATCACCAGAAAAAAATCAGGGAAGCAAGATAAATGGACAAAGTCCTGGAGGAAGGAAGAAGACCATGGAGGACCTCTTAAATTAGCCGGTCAGGAAAGCTACTTGGGTGGGACACCATGAAGCAGGGGGAGATCCAGGGATGTTCTTTCATCATTAAAACATTGGCCATCTCTCTGTAGGCCACTTAAGCAAAGGTATATTTTCTGCAAGCCTGAGAAGGGTGCAGAATTGACCAATTCATTCTCATAAGTCCTATAAAGATGACAGATAAGGCATTGGCCCGATGGAACTGACATTTTCTAAGGTCTTACATACATTCTGTTTTGGTTTTTTCCCTGCCACTCTTTCGGAGGTGAGAAGGTTTGCAGCCAGCCTTTTCTCCAGCCTTTGAAATATTAATGGAAGGCCTTGGCTCTTCAAAAGTCAGGCTCTTCTAAGTGTTTGCTGTTAGCCTTGTTCCAGGGGAGACGTCGCGAAAGGAAAAACAAGAATTTAGCTAAGGGTGCTGGTTTTGAGTCACAGGTTTCCTTTATGACTAATACTGCGGATTTACAAAGCTCCCTTCAGCCAGTGAAAGTCAGTGGTGATCATATTTCCCTGCAGATCCCCTTCTTCCATAATTCATGTCCTGCAAGGTAGTCATTTTGCCTTTTTAAAAATAACACAGATTTCACCTCCTCCTTCATAGGCTCCCATTTGCCTAGGAAGCGTTTTGGAGAGGAGGCAGGAAAACGGTTCCCATTCTGAGCCCAAATAGGAATCTTTAGACTGACTCAGTTTCCCAGTTTTACTTCTGGATCGATCTCCAAAGACCTCCGGAGATGGTTGCTGAAGTGTCAGTTTTAATATTGAAGGAGACAGCGATAAAACCCATGTCTAAGCCCGTATTTACAGTTGAAACGTGACGTTAGATATTGATTCTCTCCTTCCTATCCTTTCCTGCCCGGATCATAATGTATTTATCTTTGGATATCTCACCGGCTTTTATTTGTACGCGTCCAGGCGACGGATAGGAGGCTTCTGTTTATTTCCTGCTCAACACCCACTTTACGAATTAAGCCTCACATACTTACAGAAGGAGACAGCAATTAAATCCACCTTATAGTGAATCAAATACAGATAGTCCTTGGCTTAGGAATTAGGAATTTCTGCTCCTCGGCGAGCCAGGGGTTGAGTGGCTTTTGCCCCCATTTTTACCACCTTCCCACGTGAATCACTGCTTGGGTTAATTTAGTAACACGGTTGTTGTTAAGTGAATCCGTGTCCCCCATTGACTTTGCTTGTCAGAAAGCCGCAAAAGGGAATCACATAACCCGGGACGCTGCGACCGTCATAAATATGAGTCAGTTGCCAAGCAGCTGAGTTTTGATCACGCGGCCACGGGGATGCTGCGATGGTCGTTAAGTGTGGAAAATGGTCATAAATCACTTTTTCAGTGCTGTTGTAGCTTTGAACGGTCACTGAGGACTCCCTTTATAGTTTGGTTTTGCTACAGTTCTACTCTACCTGCTCATTTGTGGCACCTGTCAGCCAGAGAATTGATATCCAGGCTTATGATTTAGCGTGACGTGCATCATTTCTCTGAACTGGGCCAGTACCTGCCACGCTCCCAAACTTTTGGAGGCTTTTTTTTATTGCTATTTGTTTTTCTTTTAACTGCTAATTCTCTCCCTCGCACTGGGTGTGTGTTTGCAAAGGTTTTACAAGACCGGTTCTGTTCATCTTCCAGCGAATTGCAAATGCCGGTGAACCATGAAACTTAAATCAACAATCTATTTATAATGCAGAAATACGGTAAATGGGGTGAAGGGTGGGGGGGGAGAGAGATGGAGCATGAAGGTGAATAATTAGAAACTCACCAAGTTTATCTTCTTTGCGTTTCTGGTTAAAAAAAAACAACACCTGCTTCTTTGCAATCCCTCGCTTCAGATCAGATTCTAATTTATTCAGACCGATTGTATAACTATTTTTTCCCGCAACCGTGCATGAAAACGCCATCATTTTTAACAATTTGATTCGTTCCATACTGGCCACATGGTGGAACAAAAAATATACACATCCTTGACAAGGAGCAAAGATTTGTGGACACCGTTTCTGCGCCTTTGTTGTTTTTGCTGGCTTCCTCGTTGAATAAATATTTATTTTTAAAGAACTCAAGTGTTATCCTGTTGTTACGACCTGCTTTGGGATGATGTAAATGGGGAGGAGCATTTTAAATGTTCTTGGTTCATCAAATTAAAAAAAAAACATGTACTGTATTTCTCTTGGCCAACTGCTAAGGGGAAGTTTTGCTTATATAGCCAGTCCTCAACTGAGGCCAGAATTTCTGTGGCTAAGAGAAACCTTCCTTCAGTGAATGTTGCCCCATTTTATGACTTTTCTTGCCACGCGGTTGTTAAGTGAATCACTCCAGTGATTAAGTTAGTAACGCGGTTGTTAAGTGAATCTGGCTTTCCCATTGGCTTTGCTCGTCAAAGAGTCACAAAAGCTGAGGGTCGTTAAGGGGAAAAGAAAGGAAATATTTAATGTAGTAAATACTACATTGTCCTAAAAATACTTGTATGTCATTGAGTTATCAATGAATGCAGCCGCCACGTTGCTTTTTAAATAGTTAAATGTAAAATTAGAAAATCAATAAAACATTTTAAAAAAAGAATCCCTCGTTTCTCTTCCCGCGTGTGTGTGTGTGTGTGTGTGTGTGTGTGTGTGTGTGTGTGTCTTGTGCCCTTGAGGAGAGGCCCTGAACTTTGACCTTGATCTTGCAGGTCTCCTGGTTGGGACGTTGGATGCTGTTCTGGATTCCACATCCAAAGTGGCTCCTTTCCGTATCTTGCACCAGACCCCGGATTCTCAGGTGTACTGGTCTATTGCGTGCGGTAAGTACAATACATTCTTATGTAGAATAGAATAACAGAGTTGGAAGGGACCTTGGAGGTCATCTAGTCCAACCCCCTGCTCAGGCAGGAAACCCTACACCGTTTCAGACCAATGGCTGTCCAGTCTCTTCTTAAAAACCTCCAGTGTTGGAGCATCCACAACTTCTGGAAGAAAATCGTTCCACTGGTTAATTGCTCTAACTGTCAGGAAGTTTCTCCTTAGTTCTAGGTTGCTCCATTTATTGTATTATTTATTTACATGAAGTCCTCGGCTTACTACAGTTTGTTTAGCGACTGAAGTTACAATGGAACTGAAAAAAGTGACTTATGACCATTTTTTTCACACTTACGGCCGTTGCAGCATCTCTGTGGTCATGGGATCAAAATTCAGATGCTTGCCAACTGACTCACATTTATGACAGTTGCAGTTTCACAGGAAACTGACTTTCTGACAATTAAAGTTAATGGGGAAGCCAGGTTCACAACGACCTTGTTACTAACTTATCAACTGCAGTGGTTCTCTTAGCAAATGTCTTAAACAAATGTCTCACTTAACAAATGAGACAAATGTCTCACTCAACAAGATGCTCAGACTCTAGAAAGAGTACAGAGAAGAGCAACAAAGATGATCAGGGGACTGGAGGCTAAAACATATAAGGAACGGTTGCTGGAATTGGGCATGTCTAGTTTAATGAAGAGAAGGATGAGGGGGGACATGATAGCAGTCTTCCAATATCTCAGGGGCTGCCCCAAAGAAGAGGGAGTCAAGCTATTCTCCAAAGCGCCTGAAGGCAGGACAAGAAGCAACGGATGGAAACTAACCAAAGAGAGAAGCAACCTAGAACTAAGGAGAAACTTCCTGACAGTTAGAACAATTAGCCAGTGGAACAACCTGCCTCCAGAAGCGGTGAATGTGCCAACACTGGAAGTTTTTTAAGAAGAGACTGGACAGCCATTTGTCCGAAATGGTATAGGGTTTCCTGCCTGAGCAGGGGGTTGGACTAGATGACCTCCAAGGTCCCTTCCAACTTTACTACTACTACTGTTACTATTATTATTATTATTATTATTATTATTATTATTATTATTATTATTATTATTAAATTGCTCACTTAGCAACATGAATTTGGGACTGAATTGTGCCTGTAAGCTGAGGACTGCCTGTATTTATATCCCTACCTTTATTATTTTTACACCCAACTCAAAGTGGCAAACGTATCCAACACACCTTTTTCCTCTTCCTATTTCTCCCCCCCCCCCACAATGACGTAAGCAAGCATCAAATATATTTAATTCCAATCCAATTTTGTCGCTCAGGGGCCAGCAGAGAAGAGATAACAGAACACTGGGAATGGCTAGAGCGCAACGTCATGGACACTCTCTCCGTGTTTGACTCCAACGAGGACATCGTAAGCTTCGTGCACGGGAAAATTCGAGTACGTAGAGCACATCGTGAGTAACTTGCGGCTGGGGTTTCCTTTCGCCCTGGGAAGCATTGTTGGGAAAGAGTAAGAAAGGGGTCGACAAGCAGCTGAATCTCTGATGATGACGTTTGCCGGGCCAGTTTGGCACATCAGTTCTAGCATCCGTCTCAATCCCAAAATTGCTTTTTTTTTTTCCCCAAAAGTCAACTGGACTTTCTTTGGGTTTTTTTTCTTTTCCCTTGAAAATGTTTAGCTTCTTAATAATAATAATAAAGTTGGAAGGGACCTTGGAGGTCATCTAGTCCAACCCCCTGCTCAGGCAGGAAACCCTATACCATTTCGGACAAATGATTGTCCAGTCTCTTCTTAAAAACTTCTAGTGTTGGAGCATTCACCGCTTCTGGAGGCAGGTTGTTCCATTGGTTAATTGTTCTAACTGTCAGGAAGTTTCTCCTTAGTTCTAGGTTGCTTCTCTCCTGGATTAGTTTCCATCCGTTGCTTCTCGTCCTGCCTTCAGGGGCTTTGTGGAAAATAGCTTGACTCCCTCTTCTTTGGGGCGGCCCCTGAGATATTGGAAGACTGCTATCATGTCTCCCCTCGTCCTTCTCTTCGTTAAACTGGACATACCCAATTCCAGCAACCATTCTTTATATGCTTTAGCCTCCAGTTCCCTGATCATCTTTGTTGCTCTTCTCTGCACTCTTTCTAGAGTCTCAGCATCTTTTTTACATCGCGGTGACCAAAACTGGATGCAGGATTCCAAGTGTGGCCTTACCAAGGCATTGTAAAGTGGTATTAATACTTCACGTGATCTTGATTCTATCCCTCTGTTAATGCTTCTTATCCAAGAAGCTTCTTTGGTTCGTGTTCAATTCTTCAGAACTGAAAAAGCTTTTTGGATGAGAAGCGAAATGTTTTCAAGGGGGGGAAAAAAAACCAAGAAAGTCCAGTTGCCTTTGGGGGGGGGGAAAGCACCTTTGGGACAATCATGAACTGAAGGATTGAGACTCTCCGTAGACATCTGTCTAAATCTGCTAAAGCGGCATTGCCTTATGCAATTTCTCTGGCACAGAGACATGAGTTGCATTTTATTTGATCCTAGCGCCTACTTAGAAGTAAAGTTCATTGTTCTTGGTGAGGTTTACTTCCTCATTGGTGACTATAAGACAGCAGAGGTTTTTTTTTTATTAATTTATTACTTAATTGCCTGGCAAATGTAAACCCCCATACATATCAACCTAGAAGGTCGTCCCTTTTACAGTGGATCCATTCTGCTTTCTCCCAGGTAGATTACACCTGGGATAGCAGGCTAAGATTTCTTTTTCTCTTCCAAGGGACCAGCTCAGATCTGATGCAAGATGGTTCTTATTGTTTCAATGGGATTGTCTATTTTATTATCGTTGTTTCTCTACTTTCCAATTATCCAACCCATCTTCAGATCCTGCGGATGGTCCTCAACTTATGATCATAGCTGAGCCTCAAACTTTTGTTGCTAAGCAAGGCAGTGAAGGGAGTCTATGGAGATTGAGTATTCAGTTGTTCCTCATTTTACAACCTTTTTTTTGCCAAAGTTGTAAAACGAATCACTGCAGTTGTTAAATGAATCTGGCTTTCCCCCACTGACTCTGCGTGTCAGAAAGTCACAAAAGGGGATCACGTGACCCCGGGACACTGCGACCGTCATAAATAGGAGGCAGTTAAGTTGCCAAGGGTCTGAATTTTGATCACGTGAGCTTGGGGAGGCCACAACAGTCGTGTGAAAAGCGGACATAAGTCGCTTTTTTCAGTGCTGTTGTAACTTCAAATGGTCACTAAGCGAATCATTGTAAGTAAAGGACTATCTGTACTTCCCAGCTCCCTCACCCATCTTTAGTTCCTGCTTCCATGTTTCTTCATATTGGAGGCCATGATGGCGATTGAATTTTGGCAAAGAGACTTTAATTCCCACTTCAGTGAGATTACTTTTGGAAGCTCTGGGCTGGTGTTTATTAGTGTCTTGACTCCCTTTTTTTCAGGGCTTAATTGCTGAGGAGGGTAAAGGGTCTTTGGTCAAGGAAGAAGATCCAGAGAAGTTCCGGGAAGCCCATCTGAAGTTTGAGAAGTGTTTTGGGTTGGCCGAACAAGAGAAGCTCGTGACTTACTACTCGTGTAGCTACTGGAAGGGACGGGTGCCTTGCCAAGGCTGGCTGTATCTGAGCACCAACTTCCTCAGCTTTTACTCGTTCCTGCTGGGAGCTGAGAGTAAGTAAAGTCATTCATTTATTTTATTCCAAATGATACGGCCGGCCATCTCGTTATGACGACTTAGGGCGGTGAGCAACACGCAACCGAGTGAAAATAAAAAACTTCCTCCGAAGAAAATTAAACTATAGATCAGGGAGGACCAACCTTGAAACTTTAAGCCTTGGCTTAAAGTCTCTTAAAGTCTTAATGACTTTATCTGTGTCCTCATCATCTATCTCCAGTCTACAACACAGTCCTTTCAGCAGTTCCAAGAAGACTCCACACCCATTTGACACAGGTAAATCTCCAGGTGTCCTCAACGACTCTCTAAAAGAAGGCAAACGACCGGCTGTCTGCAAGGAGTATAAATCCTTCCATTCCCCACCATCCAGCCAGAGCTGAAGAAGCTTCTTGGATGAGAAGCGAAATGTCTTCAAAGAAAAACAAAGAAAGTCCCGTTGCTCCTGGAAAAGCACGACCTGGATGACTGAGAATCTCCGTAGACCTTCCAACTCCATTATTCTGTTGTTCTCCCCTCTGCAGTCAAACTCATAATTGCCTGGGATGAAATCTCCAAACTTGAAAAGACCTCCACGGTTATCCTGACCGAAAGCATCCACGTTCGCGCCCACGGAGAGGACCATTACTTCTCCATGTTCTTGCACCTTGGTGAGACCTTCCTCCTGATGGAACAGCTGGCTCTCTACGCCGTCCGGAGACTCTTTGACAAGGAGGGGTTTGAAGCTGACCCCATCCTCTGCGACCCCTTGCAAATCACTAAGAGGTGAGTAGAGGGGACAGAGGAGAGAGAGTGACCTGTGTGGGGGATTTAAAAAAGTTATTTGGATAAACAAAGTGGGCAGGGCTCAATTGTAGAAGACTTGCTTGTAGAAAGTGCCAGGTTGGATCCATGCTTTTGGGTGTGGTTTGCCTCCTATTGATCTAGGAATCGGAGACTTCATTTTCTGTTTTGGATTAAGGTCCACAATTATCCCAGGTAGGAATTTAGAGCTCATTTATAGGTAGTCCTCGACTTACGTTCATGTAGCGACCGTTCAAAGTTACAACAGCACTGAAAAAAGGGACTTAGGACCAATTTTCACACTTACGACCACAGCAGCCTCCTTATGGTCATGTGATCAAGATTCGGATGCTTGGCAACTGGTTCACACTTACGACGGTTGCTGTGTCCCGGGGGTCACGTGATCTCTTTTTGTGACCTTCTGACAAGCAAAGTCAATGGGGGAAAGCCAGATTCACTTAACAACCGGGTTACTAACTTCACTGCAGTGATTCACTTAACAGCTGTGGCAAGAAAGGTCGTAAAGTGGGGCACAACCCACTTAAGAAATGTCTCACTTAACGACAGAAATGTTGAGGTCAAATGTCATAAATCGAGGACTGCCGGTGCTTAATTTCCCAAATTGGAATGAAGGAACTGTGAATGCCGGGGTGTTTAAAGGGAGACTCGGCTTTGTTCAGAATCTCCTTCTCTTTTGGCCGCAGAGGACTGGAGAATCGGGCCCACAGCCAGCAGTTCAACGCCTTCTTCAGGCTGCCCAGCGAGGAGACGCTGCGGGAGGTTCACGAGTGCTTCCTGTGGGTGCCCTTCAGCCACTACAACACTCTGGGGAAGATGTGCCTTTCAGAGAATTACCTCTGTTTTGCCAGCCAAGATGGCTGCTTGTGCTGTGTCATCGTCCCCCTGAGGGAGGTAAGGCGAGCAGACATGCAGGTGAAATCTTGGATGGCCAGGGTCTGGTCCTTCTTTGGCAAGCAATGGAAGGAAGGAAAAGGAAGGAAGGAAGGAAGGAAGGAAGGAAGGAAGGAAGGAAGGAAGGAAGGAAGGAAGGAAGGAGAGATGTGGGAAAAGGAAGGGAAGGAAGGAAGGGGAAGGGAAGGAAAGAAGGAAGGAGAGATGGGAATGGGAAGGAAGGAAGGAGAGATGTGGGAAAAGGAAGGAAAGGAAGGAAGGAGATGGGAATGGGAAGGGAAGGAAGGAAGGAAAGAAGGAAGGAGAGATGGGAAAAGAAAGGGAAGGAAGGAGATGGGAATGGGAAGGATGGGAATGGGGAAGGAAGGAGATAGGGAAGGAAAGCAGAGAAGGGAAGGAGGGAGGGAGGGAGAGGGGAGGAGGAAGGAAGGAAAGAGATTGGAAAAGGAAGGAAGGAATGAGGGAAGATGGAAGGAAAGGAGAGGAAAAGAGTGTGAGAGAAGAGACCAAAATATAATTGCAGAAAAGAGAAAAAACTTGACCAATTATCCTTCTTACAGAACACTCTTTAATAGAATCCTTGCTCTGTTCAAGAGAAATATTTCCTGATAGTAGGTGGAAGAATATTTGATAGCATAATCCTATATCCCTCCATGGAAGCTGGTGGTCTTAAGGTTAGGGTCTCCAGGTTGGCCCCTGAGTCCTGGCACAGAGATGGGGAAGCTTGGTCAGCTACCTACACATTGCTGTGTTGACATGAACGTCCTGTTGTGTTCCCAACTTTCCTCTTCACTAACCAAGCTGAAGATTGTCTTGAGTGGCAGGAGACGCTAGTACCAAACTGGACCAAACACGGTCAAGGAAACAGGCTGAATGTTTGGATGGATATCTGGAGATACCCAGCAAGCCCTACTTTCATGGTTTAAACATGGCTACCCTGACAGCAGAGCCTCATCCTGCTTTTCAGAGGATCGGGGCGTTTGAGACGCCTCTATTTGACCTCGTGGGACCTTGCAGGTTCTCGGTCTGATGACCAGCTGAGAGGGTGACTGGAGTCTCTTCCTCTCCAATGCTCGCAGGTCATCGCAGTTGAGGTCACTGACCACGCCAGCAAGGCCCTCAGCATCGCTACCAAAGGAGCCCGGGCCTTCCGGTTCTCGGAAGTGAGAGACTTTGAAGCTCTGGTGTTGAAGCTGAAGACCAGGTACAATGCGGCACCAGGCCCCCAACACAGCACGAGTGGAGAGGTAAGGGCAAAATGTGCCTATTCCTGGTTTGCAGTGCCTGGAAAAGGGGTCTCCGTGGAGTAGAGCTCTCTTTTCTTTGCCTGAATGCCCGTGGAACTCTCTGCCACCAGATGCGAGGGCAGCCACCCGCAGAGAAGGTTTCTCAAAGGCCAGTTCAGGGAGGGAAAAGCTCTAAATAAGGACACTGTTAGTCTGCTTATCAAAAATTGGTGCCCTATCTCACTTCTCCTGCGATAGGTATAAACTGGGCAGGGAGAATACCTTTGTGCTAGTGCAGTTAGCCATGTTGGGGTTAGAGTGACCTTTGCACCAGCATTCACACAACAGGTTCATCTTGGTTAGCTTACATTTCAGTTATGGTTCCTTTCTTCGTTTTTCCTGGCTTAGAATCTCGTGCGAGCTCAGCCGGATTCAGGGTTGGGTGTAGAGCGTTGTGTGAATCCATTAAATTGGGTCAGTTGGGTGACCCAATGCCTTCTGTTATAGGCTGACCACAGTTTTGAGGAAGGGGGAGGCCCTGCAAAATGCAAAAAGGGAGCCCCACCTTCCCCTCTGCAGCAAAGGTTGCACTTCTGCAGGGTTTAATCCTTTGCTGGTTTGATTGGCGCTCTGCTCTTCTTCTCTAACCAAGTTCTATACCTTGGTTTCTTCTGATGCCTCTTGCAGGTCGGGGTTAGCCCAGAGACCCCCCCGGTCTGGGAGGACTACGAGGGGCAGCCGATGGCCAGCCACAAAGGCAGCAGCGCCACGGTTAGCACGGAAGCCCTGATGACCGTTTTTCACCCTCAGGATGCAGAGAACCTCGATTCAAAGATGGTAAGAAGAGATCCCGGTTCTCATCAACATCAGGAGACCGGTGGCAACGTCTCCCTTTCGCCCTGCTTTGCTGAGTTTTTCCTTTTCATATGGAGCTTCTGCCATCTTGGTGGCCCAAAGTCTTGGATCTTGGAAGAGATCCTTCCTTGACCTTCTCTAGTTCCAGAAACGTCCAATTGGGTCTCCTACCAAGGTCATTTAGATGTTCGACGTTTGGGTTTCTCCTACTATGAATCTGTCCCTCTCTTTAAATATGTCCTGGGTTAATTTTGCTCTGGGTTCAACACAGTTTGCCTTATTTTGTGAAGGCCCATTACAAATACTGAAGACAAATACTATACAGGGAGTCCTTGACTTACAACAGTTCATTTACTGACCGTTAGAAGTTACAACAGCACTGAAGAAAGGGACTTATGGGCGTTTTTCAGATGGCCGTTGCAGCCTCTCCATGGTCACATGATCAAAATTCAGACACTTGGCAAATGGTTCATAGTTACGACTTTTTGCAGTGTCCCGGGGGTCACGTGATCCCCTTTTGCGACCGTCTGACAAAGTCAACAGGGAAGGCCGATTCACTTACTAATTACTAATTTAATAACTGCATGATCCTGTTAAGAAGTGTGGCAAGAAAGGTAAAATGGGGCAAAACTCACAACTGTCTCACTTAGCAACATAAAGTTCATGCTCAATTGTGGTCATAAGTCAAGGACCACCTGTATTTAATCTTGCCAAGAGCATTTAATGCGTAGCCATCTATTTTTTTTTAATTCTGGGATGGAGCCTTTTTATTTTTGCATTATCCTGTCTCTCTCTCTCTCTCTCTCTCTCTCTTTTAAATAAATTCCCATTGAATTTTGAACCCTAACATAACCCCCATTGAGGGTGTCCCCGGCATTTTGTGATTGTGCTCAAGTGGCCTTTTGACACCCCCCCCCTTGTTCCATTAGTTAAAAGAAAAAATGAAAGAGCAGTCCTGGAACATCCTTTTCATAGAGTGCGGACGGGGCGTGAGTATGTTTCGGACGAGGAAAACCCGGGACCTGATTGTCAGAGGCATCCCTGAAGTCTTACGAGGAGAACTTTGGCTTCTGTTCTCAGGTATGGTCCATGTTTGGAATAATGGAAGTGATGAGATAGATTGCTCCATTTATAGACTGCCTTCCTTGGAAGCAATTGTACCCAAGTAGACTTGAGGGAACATCTCTAGATGATCATCCCAGAGGTGCTTTTTTCAGGAGGCAAGTGGACTTCCTTGTTTTGATTTGAAGGCGTCTCGCTTCTCGTCCAAGAAGCTTCTTCAGCTCTTCAGCTTCTTGGATGAGAAGCGAAAGGTCTTCAAAGAAAAACAAGAAAGTCCAGTTGCCCCCTGAAAAAAGCACCGTTGGGACAACCTTGACCTGGATGACCGAGAATCTCCATAGACATCTCTAGATGACCCTTTCCAGCAGGTTGCATCCAGACACGTTGAGTAGCGGAAAAGTCCATTCTCCTTCAGGTCCAGCTCAACTCATTGCTGGCTGAGGAATTCTGGGAGTTGAAGTCCACAAGTCTTAAAGTTGCCAAATTTGGAGACCCCATGATCTATGCAAAGCTCTGGCATTCAAGATACAATTGCAACTTTCCTTTTCCTCTGTGCAACTTACACCCCTGGACAGGTGCTGTCAATGACATGGCAAGCCATCCTGGCTATTACTCGGATGTGGTGGAGAGATCTTTCGGGACGTGCACTCTGGAGACAGACGAAATCGAGCGGGATCTGCGCCGCTCGCTGCCCGAGCACCCCGCCTTCCAGAGCGACACGGGCATTTCTGCCCTCCGGAGGGTCCTCACTGCCTACGCCTACAGGAACCCCAAGATTGGCTATTGTCAGGTAGGCTGTGCCTTTGGGCTCCCAACTTGGCTTACGTGGTCCAAACCAAAGTTTGGTGCCTGTATTTGTGTAGGGCTGTGGATGTGTTTCATTAGTGCCGTGGTGACGCAGTGGTTAGAATGCAGTATTGCAGGCTGACTTGGCCCACTGCCAGCAGTTCGATGCTGACCGGCTCAAGGTTGACTCAGCCTTCCATCCTTCTGAGGTCGGTAAAATGACTCAGATTGTTGGAGGGCAAGAGGCTGACTGTGTAAACCGGTTAGAGAGATCTGTAAAGTCTAAATCCTATTGCTATTATACAGGTAGTCCTTGACTTACAACGAGTCACTTAGTGACTGTTTGAAGTTGCAGAGGACCCTTCTATACAGATAGTTCTCCACTTACAACAATTCATTTAGTGACCATTTGAAGTTATGTCACCGGAAAAAGTGACTTATAACCATTTTTCCATGCTTACAAGCGTTGCATAACCACGATTTACATAAGTAAATGTTTTTACTTTCCTCTAAAGCAAAAATATTGCTCAGTGTAGTAATTGGTGACTCCTACGCAAGTCTCTTCACAAGCCCTGCAGCCGCCCCACAGTGGCCGTGGGCCCTGATGCAGAAATATCATGTCAGCGAGGTGACGCCGAGAGGACAGAAGGCCAAACTAACCGTAATAATAATTGTGTTTGTTTTAAAGGCCATGAATATATTAACGTCGGTGTTGCTTCTTTACGCCAAAGAAGAGGAAGCATTTTGGCTGCTGGTGGCTGTCTGCGAACGGATGCTGCCTGATTATTTTAACCGCCGCATCATCGGTACCGTTTTGTTTTCGTTGGGTTTACTGTGATGATCGCTTTCATGAGGGGTGGGAGCAGAGATAGGAGAGTTGGAAGGGACCTTGGAGGCCCTCTAGTCCAGCCCCGTGCTCAAGCAGGAGACCCTATACCATCTCAGACAAGTGACTGTCCAGTCTCTCCTTAAAAACTTCCAGTGATGGAGGCAATTTCTGGTGGCAAGCTGTTCCCCTGGTTGATTGTCCTCGCTGTCAGGAAGTTTCTCCTTAATTCCAGGCTGCTTCTCTCTTTGGTTAGTTTCCATCCATTGTTTCTTGTCCTGCCTTCAGGTGGTTTGGAAAATAAGTGGAACCCCCTCTTCTTTGTGCTGCCCCTCAAATACTGGAATCCTGCTGTCATGTCCCCCCCCCCAGTCCTTCTTTTCTGATTAGTTTCCAAATTGTTGTTTCTTGTTCTGCCTTCTGGTGCTTTGGAAAATAATTTGACCCCCTCTTCTTCAGAAATCGTGGGCGTTCCATCCCTGGAGATTTTTAAGATGAGGCTAGACAGTCACTTGTCTGAAATGGGATAAGGTCTCTTGCTTGAACAAAAAGACCCCCAAGGTCCCTTCCAGCTCTATTCTAGTCTTTGTGGCAGCTCCTCAAATACTGGAATACTGCTATCGTGTCCCCCCTAGTCCTTCTTTTTTCTAGGCAAGCCATACCCAACCGTTCTTCATAAGACCTTTAATCATTTTGGCACTTCTTCCAAGGTCTCAACATCTTTTTTGTAATGTAGTTTACCAAAACTGGATGCAGGATTCCAGGAGTGGCCTTACTAGGGCTTTATAAAGCGGTACTAAGACCTCACGTGATCTTGATTCTATGCCTCTGTTTGTACAAGCCAGGATTGTATTGGCATTTTTGGCTGCTGCCGCACACGGCTGACTCAGGTTTAGGGGATCGTCCACGAGGACTCCAAGGTCCCTGTTTTTGAGTTTATAAAATGTGGGTTTCTGAGTTTGCGTCTGCTCCAGCGTAACCAGACGTCTCTTTCAGGTGCCTTGGTAGATCAGGCTGTGTTCGAGGACCTGATCCGGGACTACTTGCCGCAGCTGACGGAGCACATGACCGACATGACCTTCTTCTCCTCCGTCTCGCTCTCCTGGTTCCTCACCCTCTTCGTCAGCGTCCTGCCCATTGAGAGCGCCGTCAACGTGGTGGATTGCTTCTTCTACGACGGGATCAAGGCCATCCTGCAGCTGGGCCTGGCCGTGCTCGACTACAACGTGGACAAGCTGCTGGCCTGCAAGGACGACGCAGAAGCCGTCACGGTCCTCAACAGGTGCTGGTGTGGCGGCTGCTTGTGGGTTGATGGTAGCTGTGTTTGCGTTTAGGGCTGGGCTACAGGTTGTGCAACGGTGTGGGCGTATCTATTTGTTTTCCACCTTTATTATTTTTACAAGTGAGGCAGTGGACAGATCCAACAGACCTTCCTCCTCATCTTTTCCCCACAACAACAGTCCTGTGAGGTGGGCTGGGTTGAGAGAGAGAGGGACTGGACCCAAGTCACCCAGCTGGCTTTCATGGAGAAAGCAGGACTAGAATTCACAGTCTCCTGGTGATTAGCCCAAAGTCACCCAGCCAGGTTTTATGCCTAAGGCGGGATTAGAATTCTCTGTCTCCTGGTGATTGGCTCAGAGTCACTCAAGTGGGTTTTTCATGCCTAAGCCAGAACTAGAACTCCCAGTCTCCTGGTGATTGGCCCAAAGTCACCCAGTCGGCTTTCATGCCTGAGGCAGGACTAGAACTCCCAGTCTCCTGGTGATTGGCCCAAAGTCACCCAGTCGGCTTTCATGCCTAAGCCAGAACTAGAACTCCCAGTCTCCTGGTGATTGGCCCAAAGTCACCCAGTCGGCTTTCATGCCTGAGGCAGGACTAGAACTCCCAGTCTCCTGGTGATTGGCTGAAAGTCAGTGGGTTTTCATGCCTGAGGCGGGACCAGAACTCCCAGTCTCCTGGTAATTGGCTGAAAGTCAGTGGGTTTTCATGCCTGAGGCGGGACTAGAACTCCCAGTCTCCTGGTGATTGGCCCAAAGTCACCCAGTTGACTTTCATGCCTGAGGCGGGCTAGAAGTCTCAGTCTCCTGGTGATTGGTTGAAAGTCACCCAGTTGGCTTTCATGTCTAAGGTGAGACTAGAACTCACCATCTCCCGGTTTTTTTAGCCTAGCACCTTAACCGCTAGACCAAGCCGGCTCATAATATGGGTGTGCACAGAGCGGTTAATGTGTGCAAGGGAACACAATTCACACAATCCTTTTCCTTGAATCAAGGTTTTTTGAGAGTGTGACCAACAAGGACAGCCCACTACCTCCAGCGGTTCAGCAGGCCTCCGGGATGAACGAAAGCAAAACCCCTCACCCCAGAGTGGACATCACAGACCTCATTCGAGAATCCAACGAGGTTTGTTCCACACTTTCTCCTCCGCTTTCGCCTCAGAAGAAGAATCGGTCATTTGTTGTGTCGCGGCCTGCAGAATTAAGCCGCCCTAAGGGTCCACTTCTGGGTGAAGACCTTTCTTCCTAAAAATGAATATAAAGCAATATAAGCCCAAAATTAATCAGATGGGGCTGGGGGGAGACCTATCAGGGTGATAATTGTGCTTAAAAGGATGATTGAAGTCGGGAGCCACAGACATAGCCACTTGGTCTCAGAGTTTGACAGTTTTGTGTGTGTGTAGATGTGTTGTAGTTTGAAATCTTGGAAGGAGTGGCCTTCTGCGCTCTGACTGTCTGGAGCTTCAAATAAGATTCATAAGATTTGGAGTGGTGAAGATGATGGAGGAGGAGGAGGAGGAGGAGGATAGGAAGAATAATCTTGGAAACCTTCAATGCTGAAGGAGTTGGCTGTTTGTGCTGTAGGTGTTGTGCATTCAACCCTGATAAGCAGTAAAATAGCGTCTTGGTCTCCTCCAGAAATACGGTGAAATCCGATTTGAGGAAGTGGAAAGCATGCGACGTCGCAACAGACTGTATGTCATCCAAACCTTGGAAAACACAACTAAGCAGAATGTGGTGAGTAGGTACTATAGTTTGTCTATATCAGGATTCTGGTCATTGGTTTTGTCCTGGTATTGAACATAATTTATCATTAAGTATCAATTGCTCTCTGTTAATTAGATAGATAGATAGATAGATAGATAGATAGATAGATAGATAGATAGATAGATAGATAGATAGATAGATAGATAGATAGATAGATAGATAGATAGATAAAGAAAAAAGAAGGAAGAAGAAAGAAAGAAAGAAAGAAAGAAAGAAAGAAAGAAAGAAAGAAAGAAAGAAAGAAAGAAAGAGAAACACAGGCATAGTCTCACACCCAGTTACCTAGAAGACTTTAGTTAACTAGAAAACCTATTAATTACTTTGATTCATCCGTTGAAATATACAGCTAGGACAATCCCTCAAACATCCAATCTTAACCTGACTTTCTTTCCTGTCGTCTGTTCTCAGCTCCGGGTTGTCTCCCAAGATGTGACTATCAGCCATAGCAACCTGGAAGAACTGTATGAATTATTCAAGGTAACATCTTGGTTGTCCTCGGCAAAAGACTTTTCATGTCTGTCTGACGGTCATGACCTCTAACAGACCTAATCAGCCATGGGCATTCATTGAATGAGTTGGGCAATCCTTCCATTCCATTCCATTCATTCATTCATTAGCTGCTATGATGAAGATGAAAGAAAAACAGATCTTCAAATTGATGACCTTGAGCTCCTGAATGTTTAATTTCAATAAGTAAACATCTGGTGATCTTTCCCAAAGGGGCCACCTCTGGAGTTTCAGAGATAGCATAATTGTCTAGGTAGAGGTTAAGGCTATGAGTTTTAATTGCCAATGATTTTCAACTTTTAGCACTGGATAATTCTATGGGAAAACAACTTGATGTTTCTCAAATTGTCCCCATGTGATCTGATGACATTTTGCTATCATTTATTTGGGTCTTTCTCTTGTTTTTGGTCAGAAAGAACATTTTCTCTCCTGTTACTGGAAACCAAATAGTCCGGCCCTAAAGCACCACGATGCCAGCCTGCCCTATCTGGACCAATATCGGATCGACTGTCAGCAATTCCGAATCTTGCACCATCTCCTGAGCCCGTGGGCACATTGTGCCAACCGAGATTCCTTGGCTCTGTGGACCTTCCGGCTCCTGGATGAGAACGTTGACGGCCTGATCAACTTCAAAGAATTTGTATCCATTTGGGGTACGGTCACAAATACGTCCCAAGCTAAGAGATCTGTAGAGTTAGCATTCGGATAAAGTCCCCTCCCTAAGTGAGATCTGGCTGGTGTAGATCAATTCAGTGACTATGGAGCCAGTTTTCAATTATTCCTCAATAATGGAATCCCCATGGTATAAAAAAGATGTTGAGCCTCTAGAAAGAGTGCAGAGAAAAGACAGAAAGATGATTAGGGGACTGGAGGTTAAAACCTACGAAGAACGGTTTCAGGAATTGGGAATGGCTAGTTAGCAACTAGCAGGGCTCCAATATTTGAGGGGCTGCCACAAAGAAGAGGGGGTCAAGCTATTCTCCAAAGCATCCAAAGGCAGGATAAAAAGCAACGGGTGGAAACTAATCAAGGAGAGAACCAACTTAGAACTAAAGAGAAACTTCCTAACAGTGAGAACAATTAACCAGGAGAAGATCTTCAGAAGTTGTGGGTGCTCCATCACTGGGGGTTTTAAAGAAGAGATTGGACAGCCACTTGTTATAGGGTTTCCTGCTTGAGCAGGGGGTTGGACTAGAAGACCTCCAAGGTCCCTTGCAACTCTGTTATTGTGTTCTATTCTGGACATTTAATAATAATAATAAAGTTGGAAGATACCTTGGAGGTCATCCAGTCCAACCCCCTGCTCAGGCAGGAAACCCTATACCATTTCGGACAAATGGCTGTCCAGTTTCTTCTTAAAAACTTCCAGTGTTGGTGCATTCACCGCTTCTGGAGGCAGGTTGTTCCACTGGCTAATTGTTCTAACTGTCAGGAAGTTTCTCCTTAGTTCTAGGTTGCTTCTCTCTTTGGTTAGTTTCCATCCGTTGCTTCTTTCCTGCCTTCAGGCGCCTTGGAAAATAGCTTGACTCCCTCTTCTTTGTGGCAGCCCTGAGATACTGGAAGACTGCTATCATGTCCCCCCTCGTCCTTCTCTTCGTTAAACTAGACATCCCCAATTCCAGCAACCGTTCCTTATATGCTTTAACCTCCAGTCCCCTAATCATCTTTGTTGCTCTTCTCTGTACTCTTTCTAGAGTCTCAGCATCTTTTTTACATCGTGGTGACCAAAACTGGATGCAGTATTCCAAGTGTGGCCTTACCAAGGCCTTGTAAAGTAGTATTAACACTTCACGTGATCTTGATTCTATCCCTCTGTTAATGCAGCCCAGCACTGTGTTGGCTTTTTTGGCAGCTGCAGCACATGGCTGGCTCCTATTTAAGCGATTGTCCACTAGGACTCCGAGATCTGATCATCTCCATTACGTATGAACCTCCTTGGATGACCTCTTTGCTTTTATTTATTTTTCCTTTCTTCCCTTTTTATTAGATGTCCTTTATCATGGAAGCTTCACCCATAAGCTGACCCTGCTTTTCAAATTGCACATTCCACCAGGTGAGTCATGTGGAGGTATTGTGTTTAAGTCCTTGCTTTCCATGTTGAAAACCATCCAGGTCAGTTGGAACCATGTGGGACCCAAGGTGAACTCCTTCCCCAGCCAGGAAACCCATTAACCAAGGACATCATCCTTCATCCCTAAAATGCTATTTATTTCTTTTTAAAGTAGGACGAATAAGCAGAGGCTGAGACAGGAACTCAAGACACATACATACACTCTGTCTCCTGCTTTTGTGAAGTTTAAAGCCAGCTTTGAATCCTTGTGACTTCCTTTTTTAAAAAAAATAAATTGTAGGTTTTAATAAATAACATGGTTTTAGTACAGTAGCATTTATGCAGTACCGATTGAAGATTATTGACACTCTGCTGTTTAAGTTATTTAAACTCAATATAAATTACTTAGATTTCAATAGTGCATTGAGGGTAAAGAAAAGAGAAGAAGGTATTATATCAATATTATTTACAATTTACAATATTTATAATATTAATATACGGTCAATGTTATTGGCCATGAGATTATTTACCTTTTTCTTCCAGAAATGAATATAACGTTAGAAAAAAAATTTCTGCTGCACAGATTGTACAGCATCGTATTGTTATACAATAAAAGTTTCAGTTGAGCTCAATACTCAAGATTAAAGTCTAGACTGTACTGTTATTTAATTTGTTTGTAATGTAGCAAAGGAAAAAAATAGATAAGGATAGCAAATTCAACAATCATCAAAATAGTAGAGAATAACGAAAAAAAGAGAAAGAAAAAACATTATTTGGTTTTTAACTTCCCCTCTTCTATGCAAACTGCCAATTTATAATATCAGATTTAGCTAAAGTTTAAAAAGTTAATTTATACGTTTTTGAAACCCTTTAGAAGTCAAACGGTGGCTATATCTTCCAGGCTGTGTGATGCATTGTATATAATTCTTTTGATTTTTAACTTTTGTTCTTTTTTTCTTTTGACAGCTTTTACCGAAGTGGAGTCGCTGAGCCCTTTTAAAGGAGCTCAACTCTCTAAAGAAGAATTGATCCATTTCAGTCAACTGAGTGGTAAGTGTCAACGTGTCTAACTTCTGCTTGTGAAAGCCAAGGAGGTCGTCTTCTGGAAATTAAAGTGGAGCTGGTCCTTTGCCACTAGCTCAGAATCCGTTCTCTTAAGTAAAAGTATGAGCCGTGGTGACTCCGTGGTTAGAACGCAGTACTGCAGGCTAATTCTGCTGACTGCCGGCAGTTTGGCAGTTCAATTCTCACCAGCTCAAGGTTGACTCAGCCTTCCATCCTTCCGAGGTTGGTGAAATAAGGACCCAGATTGTTGGGGGCAATAAGCTGACTCTGTAAACCGCTTAGAGAGGGCTGTAAAGCACTGTGAAGCGATATATAAGTCTAAGTGCTATTGCTATTGCTAACTCTGCCCACTGCCTGGAGTTCGGTCCTGACCGGCTCAAGGTTGACTCGGCCTTCCATCCTTCCAAGGTCAATAAAATGAGGATCCAGATTGTTGAGGGCAATAAGCTGACTCTAAACCGCTTAGAGAGGGCTGTAAAGCACTGTGAAGCGGTATATAAGTCCAAGTGCTATTGCTATTGCTAATTGCAAGCACTTGAAGAAGTCTTGGTCAACCTTATTGGCAGTGTTAGTGTCATCTTGGGGACCAGGTCATAACTCAATGGTGGAGAGTCTCAAGTTCAATTCTTGGGATCTCTTCACGGAAGGATCTCTGAGAAGGAAAGATCACTTTCTTGCTGTATATCAGGGTCTCTCAACCTTGTCAACTTTAAGAGAGGCGTTGACTTCAACTCTCAGAAACCTTGAAGTTCACATAGCTTAAAGTTGACAAGGTTGAGAAGCACTGCAGTAGACAAAGTACAGCTAGTCTTTGACTAGCTAGTTCATTTAGTGACCGGTCAAAGTTGCAATGGGCCTGGAAAAAGTGACTTCACGACCATTTCCAGCTTCGCCATAGTCACATGATCAAAATCCAGACGCTTGGCAACTGACATGTACTTACAACAGTTGCAGTGTCCCTAAGGGTCACGTGATCACCTCTTGTGACCTCAATTGTGGTCATTAAGTTGAGGACTGCCTGTAAATACTCCTCCTCTACATGGATGGATAATGCATTTAGTATCACGGATGGATCAGAAGTATCTTTTTTCCCTCTTCTTCATCTTAGTTTCCTCTCCTGAAGATAAAGCAGATGCTTTAAAGACAAGTCCTGAAAAAGGTAGGTGGCCTGGACTTAGCCAGAGATTGGAGGTGTACGTTGAAGGCTGCTCATCGTAAAAGTGTCGTATGGAGTGAAATTTGAGTCCACCTTGGCCTCTGTATCCATCCTGCCTTTCGCCTTCATGACCGTCAACGGGCACAGTTTTTAAGAATCTTAACTTTGGGGATCGGAGTTGAGGTTGACCACAGCTTAATTTGCACCCGTTAATGTTCCCTTCTGATGTGCTATTGTCGGCAGTCTTTTTGAGGCCATGCTGGAGGAAGGAAGAAGAAGGAGGCCAAGCTTGTAGGGATTAGCAAGAAATCCTGGTTTGATGTTGCAGGCTGGCCTGAAGAGCGTAAAGTACGAAAGAAAGAGAGGATGTACTGGCGGGTGTAATATTGGAAGCTTATATGTACCACAGAATTACTAAGGGACTCAGTCATCACGTTGTCTATTGAGCACTCGTTTGTGAAAATAGAAAATTAATAATAAAAAAAAAGAGTATAAAGCACGAGACTTTCAGGGTAGCAGGGCAGAAATAGGGAAGCCCTTAGTGATTTTGCAAATTCCATCCCTTCACATCAAGAAGCCCGGCTGAAAGTCTTTCGATTGAGATGGGATGAAGTTTCAGCTGGAAACTGCAAATGCTCCAACGTTACCCAACAGATCTGATTCCTTAGCAGAAACTCTTCAGGAGAACAGCACAATTGACCCATCTGACTCTTTCTTACCAAACAGGGAAAGGGAAAGTGGACATCCAGGCTTACTTGAAGCAGTGGCAAGACGAGATCCTTAAAAAGGAAGCAAGCATTAAGGATTTGCCCCGGATGAACCAGGTGAGAACTTTTGGAAGCAAGTATTTTGTTCTAGTGGAGTATTTTTTTTGTTCTCCTCCATTAATACAGGTAGGGTGGAGGTGTAGCAAATATTGATAGAAGAGACCATTTGTAGCTCAGGATTGAGCTGTGAGGACCTTAGGCCTCTCTGAGCTTGGTGGTTTTCTTGCAGACGTTTCACTACCAGACTAGGTAACATCATCAGGGTTAGGGTTATGATGATAATGACGACGATGCTACTTAGTTTGATAATGAAACATCGGCAAGAAAACAACCAAACTCAGAGAGCACCAAGGTTCCCATATAACAAATTCTGCTAAAGTCTAGAACATCAAAATGTAGTCTTCTCTCAGCTGGAGACCTTTGGTCCTTGGCCTACAAACTCATAAACTCCTCCCAGATGAACCAGGAAGTTTGGAGATCATGTAGATCGTTATTCAATGCATCTTCAGGACACTTGATGGGGAAATCTAGTCAAGACACCCATTTTTATGAGCCCTGGTGGCGCAATGGCTAGAATGCAGTACTGCAGGCTAATTATGCCGACTGCCAGCAGTTCGATCCTCACCGGCTCAAGGTTGACTCAGCCTTCCATCCTTCCGAGGTCAGTAAAATGAGGACCCAGATTGTCAGGAGCAATATGCTGACTCTGTAAACTACTTAGAAAGAACTTTAAAGCATTGTGAAGCGGTATATAAGTCTAAGTGCTATTGTCAAGCAAGAACATCCGATATTAGCATTGTTATTGTCCTTCCTTCCTTCCTTCCTTCCTTCCTTCCTTCCTTCCTTCCTTCCTATTGTTATTGCCCTTCCTTCCTTCCTATTGTTATTGCCCTTCCTTCCTATTGTTATTGCCCTTCCTTCCTTCTTCCCTCCCTCCCTTCCTTCCGTAACACTGCCCACTGCCAGCAGTTCGATCCTGACCGGCTCAAGGTTGACTCAGCCTTCCGTCCTTCCGAGATCAGTAAAATGAGGACCCAGCTTGCTGGGGGCAAGAGGCTGACTCTGTAAACCGCTCAGAGAGGGCTGTAAAAGCACCGTGAAGCGGTATACAAGTCTTAAGTGCTATTTATAAAAAGCTGCTGCAAGCATGGCTTGTTCTGTCGACGCACACACGTACAGGCTTGATCTGAAAAGGTCTCTTCTTTTTCCCTTCCCAGTCCCAATTCATCCAGTTCTCCAAGACCTTGTATAACTTGTTCCACGGTGATCCAGAAGAAGAGCTCCTGTTCCGGGCCATCGCTACAGTTACCGGCCTCCTGTTGAGGATGGAGGAGGTGGGACGAAAGCTTCAGAGCCCCACTTCCCCAGCTCAGAGAGGAACATCTCCCGTGGCTGGTCCTACAGCACCGCCGGCCTCCCAGACGGATGAGCCGGGAGCCCCGCTCTCCAGCTCCATCCACGAAGGCTGGTCGTTCGCTTTTGAGCAGATCCTGGCTTCTTTGCTAAACGAACCTGCCTTGGTGAGGTTTTTTGAGAAACCGGTCGACGTCAGAGCCAAGTTAGCCAACGCTAAAGCCACCCAGTTAAAATCAAGGGCTGGCATGTAAGAACCCCTAGGCTCACTTCTCTTTCCTCTGCATAAAACAATCCGAAACGGGAGATAACGTTGAGCTTCAAGTTCACCCTGAGGATTTAGTCCCATTCCCTTAATAGCCGGGCAGCGTACACGGCTTTATTTCTATTTTTGTGGGGGTCAAGTTGCTTGAAGCACAATTGCACCTAATCTTTGCATTTCAGTACACCAGATTTTATAAGGCACAGCCACCAACACGGGGCCACTTGGAAGGGGGGGGAAATAACCCCTAAATTGTCTCCTCAACAGTACAAGATTTCCAAGTTCTCCCTTTTCAGGCCCCGGTTTTGCTGTGTCGTCTTAACGGGTAAAGGCAGCAATTTTTGCAAAGAGTTTCTTAAAACGTGGAATGTAGGGCTGCTTAACGCATTGAGGGCAGAATCTCTGACCAGTTTAGGACACCTATTTAGGAAAGTCGTTCATTTCAATGGAGGGCAAGAATTTTTTAAAAATATACATTTCTTCAAAACCTGGTTCTTCAAAGGCATTACTTGCCTCACACTGAAGCCTTCTCGGCTGATAGCGTTAAATATTTGCGACTGTGCCTACGTCTTCTGGACGGGTCTATTACAATCCGCATGGCCAACTCAGCACAGTCAACTTCCTGTGGCTAAGTCGCCGTGGGACAATTCGCTGTGAGACAAGAGTTAAACTAATATCAAAGAAATGGTGGTATAGAATCATTAAAGGAGGCAAAAGGAGAGACATTAATTAAATTGGTTTATTAAATTGTCCTGCAGCGAGTTGTACTACAGTAAGTTGGTCATGATGAGTTGGCCATGGAGAGTTGGTCGTGATGAGTTGGCCAAGGCAGATTGGCCATGATGAGTTGGCTATGGAGAGTTGGCCATGAGTTGGCCATGGAGAGTTGGCCGTGGCAAGTTGGCCGTGGCAAGTTGGCCATGATGAGTTGGCTGTAGCGAGTTGCCCCATTCCTCTTCTGGACAGTTCTTTTACTCAACATCCAAAACAATGGTGATTTGGCCCAATTTTACAAGCCGGGAAGTTGCGTCATAGTGTTATTTTCCTCAAAGTGTGAGTTAAGTAGAATTCTGAGGTTCCCTTTGAAAAACCATCCAGTCCAGTCAATGAAAAACTAGAAACAGAAATTACAGAATCAGCTGCTTAATTCTATATACACACACCACTGAAATGATTTGGGGGAAACAGCTATTTGACATTGCAGTAATTCCTTTATTTCACACACACACACACCTTTTTGGGTGGAAGCCATTGTTTCGTGAGGTCCAAAATCACAAAGGTGTTTAGTAAAAAGGAATGGGTAGTAGTAAGAAAGTTGGATGCGATTACAAAAAACTCTTCTTAGTGTTGTCCAGATGGGTTCTCTGCAAAGGTTGAGGGTTAATGCTAAGCCAAGTTTTAGTACTTAAGTCCTAGAGAGCAAGTTATGTTTTAGACTTCAGGCTGAAATCCTTCCAGCTCCAGGTAAAACATGGATTGTGAGCCTGAAGCTAACTCAACCCTATTAGAAAATAGAACAGTGAGGCTTTATTCAGTTGGAGCAAAAATAATTAGAATTCATTCTTCAAAGACTTTCCAAGAATCTATTCCTCAAAGACTTTTCAAGTCCTTCAAGAATGAGAATTTTTTTAAAAAAAAACAAACAAACCTCTATTGCCTTTAAAACTCTTCTCAATTTACCTTAATCCAAACAGTGCTTTAGTAAAAGTCACTAATCTTTGCAATCTTTAAGTTAAAAAGTGCTGCTATTTTTTAATTCCAGCACGATTGAGGATGGTGGCATGAGGCCTTTTGCCAGCTACAGACAGGTATATATTTTTCAAAATCCAGTTGTTTTCTGATATGTCACAAAAACCCCAGTTTTCTCCAATTTAATGTGCTCCTAATTCTAACATAATTGAGAAATATGAACACCAGGGATATAAAATCCCAGTTTCTAGATCTGAGCAGTTTAATACAAGAATTCTTCAGTTTGAAGGTATTTTTTATAACATCTGGAGTTAGCACCACCATCAGAAATTCAGAAAAGTTTGATTTATGCCAACTTTCTTTTTCTTTCTTTGCTGCTCATGGTTACTAAATGACCGAGCTGAAAGACAAAAAGCGTTTATAAAGGAAAAAAAAAATCTAGATAGACATAGTGTCTTTTTCAACAAAAGTACTGTATAAAATGCAATTGTGGATGGCCATACGAATAGCATTTTTTTATAGTATGTTTTCCAAGAGACCATTACAAATACTTGAGATAAACAAGTACATATATTTAATATATATATATATATATATATTAAAGCTTAGGACTGAATTGTCTTATAAACAAACACACATGTATATATTATTATCCTTAAGAAAAAAAAGTCATAAATAATATGGTACGGAACTAGTTTATTTTCTTGTCTCCAATATGACAGATGTTTACAGGGCAGTAAAGAATGCACTCAATTCAGTCACTCAAAGCTATTTTTAAGAATGAGCACTTTGATTTTTGCTTTGGAGTGAAATAGGATCCACAAAGTACCTCTTTCGTTTCCATGAACATAGTCCATCAGCCATTGCGTGATGCTTCTTAAAAGTAGAACTTTATTTTTCTTCCAAAATAATATATGTACAAATCTGCTGAAGGATCTAGGACACGATTTTACAAGGATTGAGAGGGATCCCAGTCCATCCTGGTTTCTACACCCCCCCACCCCCCGAAAAAAAATCCCTCAGTAAGACACTTTCTTGCTTCTTCTGCTTTCCCCCATTTTACAGAATACTTTATGACTAGGAACATTTTTTTTTTAAAAAAATGATCTATATTTGACACCGTACAAAATAAATTCAATATTCGATTTTAAACCTTCGCTTTTTTCTTTTTCCCCTTTTGTGCTCTTTTTCTTTCTTTCTTTCTTTCTTTCTTTCTTTCTTTCTTTCTTTCTTTCTTTCCTTTGTACACAGCTAATATATAAAGTTAGACTCTGCATCTGTGAACCCAACAGCCTTTTCGTTTGTAAATATGTACAGAAAGTGCCAGGCTGGGGGGAGAGGGGGGGGAGAGAAAGGTGCTTGTGTTTCCACAACGAACTAAAGATTTGTCTCACTTTGAATCCTGCTAAGGCTTCTAATTTCTACAACACACGTACAGGAAGTCCTCGACTTACAACAGTCCACTTAGTGACCGTTTGAAGTTACAACGGCACTGAAAAAAGGGACTTGTGACTGTTTCCCATGGTTACGACCGTTGCAGCATTCTCCCAGGGTCACATGATCAAAAATTCAGACCCTTGGCAACTGGTTCATATTTATGACGGTCGCGGTGTTTCCCGGGGTCACGTGATCCCCTTTTGCAGCCTTCTGACAAGCAAAGCCAATGGGGTCATTTATCCAGGTTTGCAAAGCACCGCATCAGATGCCAGATTAGATGTTAGATCCAAGTGGCCAAGGTTGAGGAAAACGGCTCTATTAATCCTGGATTTAGGAAAAATCCATTGTTCCGGTCATGGAAACTGACCGGTACGCGCCTGTCCATGCAAAGCATGTTCAGCAGTTAAGTAACTGCAATCCTAGGAAAATACAGATTCTTATAAAACAGTGATTTATCTGCCTGAGAGTTTTATACACACAGCTATACCTGAATAAATATAGTTTGCTTTTTTTTTTCTTCTCAAATGTATGACCCTGAACTCTTATTAAACAAATGCCTTCCAACACTGAGCTTGGGAACTGGATATATCTAGTGTGAAACAACTTTGCCCTAATAGCAGCAGGTAACAGTTTCACATCCCCAAAAGAAGTACAGCTGGAAAGACTAAAGAACAAATGTGCAAGCTGAACAAAGTTAATCTTTTTTTTTTTAAAAAAAAATGCCCCTTGCAATTACAAGTCATTTCTTTTGCAAAAAGAGACAATAAAGGGATGCTTTGGTGTAATCTCACCACTGAGGAATTAAAAAAAAAACTTTCTTCTTTTAAAAAAGTTCATAAATATATAAACAGAGGTTTTTTTTGTTTTTAAAAAATGACCATTTACAAAAATACATTTTATTGCTAACCCTACTGACTTGTGACGCTTCTGAGATCCAAGATTCCACTTCGCCAAACCCCTAACCCTTAACAGCAAAACCACAAAGTTTGCTTTTTATCTTGGGGTGACAAGATTATTCTCCAAAACAAAAGTTTAATTAGACCGGAGGAGAAACATTAAGAATCCTGCACCCTATTTGGCTAATTAGGGAGTCGAGCTAGATACAAGGTTTGTTTTTTTTCCCCCAAAGTCTCCATTTCGTAATAAAATAAAACCAAATGGATTCTTTTACAGACAACTCGAAAAATCAAAGCAGCTGGTGCACAATGACAGAATTCAGGCAAAAGTGGTTTTTCATAAACGATAGCAGCATCACTCGATTATTCCCTAAAAAAAAATAAGTCCTTACGGGAGAAAAAAAAATTGAGTCGCGAGGAAATTGCGAACCTAACTACATCAATTGCACACTGAACAGGTGAAAAACAGGGCAGTCAGGCCCAGGACTGGCTATATTTCACAGCAAAGTGGGTTTTTATTTTTCAAAAACTGCTTCTTAGGGTCTAAATTTATCAGCGTGTAAAATCTGATCCTGTAACAAAACAAGAACTTAAGTCCACCCACCATGCGGCACGACAGCGTGCCAACCTAGTTGCAGTTCATGGCTGTGATTTCCTGCAAGTTCTTGAGTCTGGATTGGACTCTTGACTGGAAAGTCAAGCTGTTGTTGTTTTTTTCTCGTCCAAGTGAGCTCCCAGTTCTGGACTGGGCGTCAAACTCATGTTGACCGACAGCTCCTTAAGCAAACGTACTCCCTCGACCTTTGTTCCCTGCGCCTGCTGAGCGGTGGAGGTTGAGATCCATGGCTATCTGCCTTCTGCGCTGCTGAGTTGGTTTTTCTAAGCAGAAAAGGATGCCGGCTGTAGCTCTCCGCTCCTTCTCCGTCCTTGGATGGTTGTTCCCACGGTTGGCCTAGCCTTTCTCTTGAGAAGGAACCAATTCTCCTTCTCGGTGCTCAGCCGTTGCTGCTCCTAACGTAAGCGTGATGACCGTCTCTCGTTCGAGACTTCAAGGCAGCTGCATTTCGGGCAAGTCTTGTAAACTGCACGGCTGCCCTTGC